TTGATTTTACAAATAAATATATTTTTAAGGGTCTGCGTAAGCTGAATACACATGGCAAATTTTAATAATTCTGAACATGCCGATCATCACAATTTAAGAAAAAATGCATATATTTTTAAATTAAAACTGAACAAAGTAACAATGCAAAACCAGGCAAATGATGCCAAAATATCTTAAGTTGTCAACCTATATTGTTGTGAATGTCAAATGTTCTGAAATGAAAATTTAAGTAAGATTTTTGAAGTGAAATTTCTTTACACGCGTTGCGAGTAAAAATTCAAGGCTCTAACACTCGGCCTTGAATTTTTACTCCTAACAGTTTTTATTTACTCCCATACAATTGGTTTGTCGCTTCTGAATAACGGTCTAGGTAAAGTATCTAGTTCATTTGCCAGCTGAGAATTGGAATTTACAGTTAGAAACTCGGATTTTCATTGGAGGACACTGATATTTATTCCAATCCAATAATCAACGAAAATATTCGTATAATTTTAATAAAATTACTGTAAATCACTATAAATAATGAATTGTATGTAATTGAACTGTAATTCCTATATTATTAATGCGGTAAACGATGGAGATAAACAATTGTGATTGATTCTTGAAATTTTATTTCAAGAGGAAACTTTCGTTAACACAATTCTGAGAATTCAAACAATGAATTGAATAATGTTAACTAAGGTCCGACCAAGATCCCGGTCGCGGTCTCGGTTACAGTCATTCTCGGCTAAAAATCAGGCCGAAATCTCGGTCTCGTTCTCGGCATAAAAAGGCCGAGATTATCGGCCAAGGTCGAGACTGTTACGATCGTTAAATTAGCTTATTTTTGAGCGTATCGCTCCACCCATCGATGCGTGGATGAATGAAATACTTGTCCGAAGTGGATAAAAAGAATGGATCATATCTGATCCATATATGATCTGATCGATTCACAGAGGGGATTTCCCGAACGGCAGAAAAATCGCTTTCATATTTCGATGTGTAAAACGAATTGTTAGATGCTTGGTTAGATGTTAGTGTCTTATTAATGCAAGTTTTATAAACTTAACAGAATTATGCTTTTAGATGAATTACTTGTATATCTAACTGTAATAAGTTAAATTTTTGCGTTTAATTATTCACCTCCATACAATATTCTGAAACCAGCAGCTTATAAATTTCTAGTCTGTACCACCAACAAGCGTCTCTAGGAAACAACTATTTAGAAAGAATATGATGAAGCACTGCATAATTTGAATGGATGCAATGCTGAAAAAATACTTTTTTAGCCTACAACATAGACTCAAGAAAAGTAATTTTATTAGTATTAGTAATTTTATAGTACTAAACCCCAATAAAACCGTTTCTGCATGAAAATAGCGTTTTTATTACATTATCAGATATGTTTTCATATAATAAACTATTAAATAAATATTACATCGTGTCTCGGTCTCGTTCTCGTTCTCGGCCGAGAATCTCTTTTTCTCTCAGTTTCGGTCTCGGTCTCGGCTGAGACTAAAAATCCAGGTTCTGTCGGACCTTAATGATAAGACAAGTGACATCTGTCTAAAAAAACAGATATTTAGAGTGAAAATTTGGTTATGTCAAATTTAGAGTGACAATTTTGATTACGCAAAAGAAATATGTATTCTACCGTGCTGGCAACTTTTGGGTCGGCATTTACATGTGTGGAAGTAAATGGCATAGGGATCTTACTAAGTTGGAGTGAGAGAAATGCGACCGAACGACGCGACACGCGACGGTGTGCTGTTGCGGCGTTGCCGATTCGCCTTTCCCTATTAAGTAAAGTAAAATCACGATCGCAAACCGCTTATTTTTAAAAGACTTTTTTTCAAGAGATAACTAGATAAAATCATTAGACATGTTTCTGAGTTTCTCATTGAACTTTTTAACACAGGAACTTTAACACAAGGCCATAACTCAAGAACCACTTTAGATATTGAAACTTTTTTTGTTTTCAAGATCGGATATTTTACAATCTGTTTACATAAGAAAAAATCGATAAGGTTGTTTTTTCTATTTTTTTTTTCAAAAATTGTAAACAATCCATCCATTTGCTTTTAGAGGATAGCAATTTTCAGCAATCGTGCAATTTTTTTATTGATAAAGATTTTCACATACTGTCTACAAAGAAAATACAGCAGAAATATTAAGAAAGTTCTTGAAAAAACTACAATCTATTATTTCTAATAGATTTCGAGATATCGATTTTTGAATTCAGAATTCTAATAGCGCGACCACTATCGAACACCCACTCAATTCCGCTTATTTTTACCAAAAATGCAAGTGTTTCTAGCTTGCACTTAAAAAATTCAAGTTATAGGGAATATTACAATGACTCGTTAATAAATACACATACAAATTAAGTATCACGAGACGTAATTAAATCGTGAAGCTGAACGCATGACGTACACCTTTCCCTAGAACTTTAAGTACTGACAGAGGTATTGATTGGGTCGACCGGTCAACTGCGACAAATCTGCTATATCCCCTTCCACTTCTCTTAGCGATGTGCACAGTTTCTCGGGTTTTCATACATTTGGCAACGTGTTTACTGTCCTCTCTTTGTTCAGTACATTATAAACGCATTGTAATCTTCTTACATACGGAAATCTCGACCCAAGACTAACCTTTGCCAGCCCTTAGTATATGCTTTGCCTATTTTGCCTATATGAGTTTGCCTAACGATTAACATTAATTTAAAAATAAATCCCCAACATGAATAATGAACAAAACATTTAAACAAAAACAGACAATAGACCACATAAAACAAACTGTTGATTGGTAGCAGTTAGTAGTAGTCAGAGATATAGATGTGGTAGTATTTTGGTTTAAATGGTCACAGCTACCAGGCTATCCGGCCGAGTGAATTATCAATTTTTAATAAAACTTAAAAAAACATTATAAAATTATAAAGCTAGAATAGTATACTGTTTTATATTAACTCTATTTTTTTGAAGTTGATAAAAAGCATTCATAAAAAAATTAGTAGTGGGAACTATCGAATGAATACTATCGAAACATTCGATAGTTGCAATTCATTCGAATAATTCGATAGCTAGTAAGAAAACATTCGTTGAAAACTATTCGAATAAAAATTATCGAATAGATGCGTCATCTGCCTTGAAATATTGTATTCTAGTAATTCGGCAGCAAAAACCATTCATTTATAAAATTCATTCATTTATTCGTCAGGATCGATTATAATAAAATATTAACTGGATTTTAGTTGTCGCCCGGCCACGTAGGTTTCTTTCCGAGAAGCCCGACAGCGGTCGGTGGCAATGCTATGAAAGAAGCCGGCATCTTTGATTTTTTGCGGAGTCATATAAAGATAAGGACACATTATTTTTTTTATTGAGGTGCTAGTATTTACACAGAAAATACATTATGGAGGGCGCTGTTGCCATATATTGGTATTAGTTGATATTAGCAAAGAATATTATTGTTTGGCTTTAGTTAGTTAGGGATAGTATGTCTATATATTTTGCATTTTTTTATTAATATTCTGTTGTTACACTGCAATAATACTTCTTATTTTGGATGTAGGAAAATGATTTTTAATGTTTTTAAGCAAAGACTGGTTTAATAAAAAATAATAATAACAGTAATAATTTGTTATACCTATTAACAACAAAATTTAAAATAATTTAATATAAACATTTTTTTACGGAGTAGCAAAATATAAACAACAAATTAGATGTCAAAATTATTTATATTAGATCCTATTTAAAAATAATATAGTCTTTAAATTTTTTGTGGCAACGTTGGTTTATTAAATAATAATAATTACAGAACTAATTTGTTATATTAACAACAAACTTTAAAATCATGAAATATAAACATTTATTAATTTTCTAAGCATGCAGTGTAATGGAAGGAAAATATAAATAAAAAATTAGAAATCAAAATTATTTATATTAGGTACTTTATATTATTATTTAAAAATAATATTTACTTTTACTAGCATTTACTTTAAAAAATAAATGAAATATTTCTTCGCAAAAAACTACATGTAAGAGAATTAGCATAAACAAAATACAAACATCGTTAACTTTTTTTTTAAATTGGCACGTGTAAAACTTTCAATTTAATTTTCTCATCCCATAGTTTGAGTTCGATAACCCCCCATTTACTTAACCACATTACTTAAATATGATTATTAAGTTCAACTAATTAATATTATTAAAACATCTAAAATACAAATATGTATTTTTAAAATTAATTCTAAGTTCATCTCATCTCTCTTAAAAATCGCTACTTCTCAAAATTTCCCATTAAAAAATAAACCATATACCATATAAAATTAAATAATTGAAAGATCGGGCTATGGAAAATCACGCACACAATCGTCAATTAAAAAAAACTTCTATTTTGGTATTTTAAATATTTTAATAAACGCAAAAATGGCACAGTATTTATAAGACGAAGTTATAAAAATTTGGAAGAACTAATAATGCACTCACGCACACAAAAATCAAACGAATACTAAATAAATTTCATTTATATTATCAAAAGATGTCAAAAGCATTCGATAGTCGTGGCTCAAGGATAACCATTTAGTCGCACGGCGAGGTTGTCACATATGCTTTAGTATACAAATGAATGAATTATTTTATTCGAATAAAACCATTCGATAGTTGAAATCATTCATTCAATAACCACCATTCGATAGTCTAATTCATTCGATAGTTCCCATCGCTAAAAAAAATATATATCCTTCAAAGCTTTCAATTTAGTAGCCTTAATATGAAGACAGTTAGTTTCACTTCAAATATGCGCACATAGTGCACACACAATTTTTTTCAAGAAGGAGCTTTAAATATTGAGGATCCACCATTGCCATAATGCACGTTATTGAATCTCTAAATAAAAAAAGTTTAATTTAAAAAATAATGAAATAAAAAGAATGATATATAATATGTCTACTAGCAAGGTGAACTAAAGCTATTTCTGTAACATTTATGACAACATTTCAACTAATTAACTTGTATTGCTAGCTGCCCAGCAGCAAACCAGTGAAGAACCAGTTAAAAAAGAAGACAGTTTTGAGGCAGAATTGTGCAAAGACAAGGATGCCGGTGAATGGTTCAGATTGGTTGCAGGTGAAGGTGACAACTGTCGTGACGTAATCCAGTGCACATCGTCTGTAAGTATCACACGTGTTTCACTTTCTATTGAAATTTACTATCAAAAGCTATGCTACTCGAATTTCCAAAGGCTTTTTAAATAATAAGAGAGTATAATTATTTTCACCTAAATGATAATCTTATACCGGGTGCGTCTCAAAAGTGGCTTATTTTTTCAGATAAAAAAACGAGATTTGGTATGTTAGTATAAGATTTAAATTAGAATTGATTAGCGTATTCAATTGTTTTTGGTCATTTCCTGTCTCACCGGAAATGACTACAACTTTTGATTTTTAAATGGCACCGTCGGTATTTTTTTACTTTATTTGATAGGAAATGACATTCTGAATAGAATGACATATCATATGTCAACTTTTGACATTCTCGCTTAATAAAAAATAGTATTTTAAAATTCAATCTAGAGTGCCATGGCTATGTTAAAAACACTAATTCTTAATCAAGGAGCCTGGGAAAAATAGATATGATCATCTAATGTTTTTAGTGTCTTTTCCTGGCCAGTTAGAAAATGCTCAAATCGTGTTTTTTTAATCATATTTCAATTTTTTCAAATGGAAAGAGGGTGGCTCATTAGAATATTTGGAAAAAGCATTTTTTTACGAATAATTTGGTACTATACACACGTATTTCGAGTCAAATTTTCGTTACAAACCGCAAGGTATAATTTCAAATAAACCATATGAAAAAATGTCAAAATTGACATATGATATGTCATTCTATTCAGAATGTAATTTTTTATCGAATAAAATAAAAAAATACCCATAGGTGCCATCATAAGGTGAGGGGAGCCGTATGATTTTGGTCTAGTTGTTTTAATTTTTCAAATTTAGCTTACCATATTGTTATCTGTGATTGAACAATTATTGTGATAGATATAACTTTTTGACTTTGTAAAAATTTTTTGACTTTTTAATTTGTTGTGATTGTATTTTATAAATTTGACCTCTGTAACTGTTTTAGCTTTTGGGCCTGATGATGGGAATAGTTTAAATTCCCGAAACATGTCGCCTCCCTTGCTTTTTTGAAGCATTAAAATTTAAATTAAACATCTTAAAGATTGTGAGTTATTTGTCCCCTTACCTGTCTTCAGAGGTCTTATTTGATAATATGTACTCACACTGGGTTAGAGAACGTTTAGTTTTTTAAAAAATTAAAAGCTGTAGTCATTTCCGGTGAAACAGGAAGTGACTAAAAACCAGTGAATACGTTACTCAATCCTAATTTATGTCACGTACTAACATACCAAATCTCGTTTTTTTAACTGAAAAAGTAAAAAAAGTTATAGGGGTGAGCCACTTTTGAGATGCACCCGGTATAATAAGAATCACTATATCATAAAATATGAACTTTTTCATCACAAATATTCTACACTCACCAACACTAAAAGTGGGCCCCTTAAAGTTCTAGTGAGCCGATTTTGATAATTTTTTAAGCAATACGTAGCTAAATTATTTGACTTTTTAGTATCTCTTTCTAAATTAAAAATGAAAGTTCCTATCTGTTAAATGAGGGAAAACAAAATGTGTTTTTTTTTTATATTTTGGTGAAAGTTTGGAACACCTTGTGGAATGTGTTAAGACAGCAAGAAATTTTAAAAACATTTTACCCTCTAGGTACATCCTTTCTCGATAGTTTGTTTTTTGGTACATCTCAAATAGCTTTATTTTTGTTAGAGATATTCATTTTTAAAGAACACACTAACATTCTTTTGTAATCTTTACATTGAGACCTTATTTTTGCTTTTGGTGCTAGTCAACAGACCTAGATAGTTGTGGTCCCGAAGCAGGTCTTCTTGACATAAGGTATATCATCTTCAATTAAAGCAACTATAGCGGATACAGCTTTTGGATTTAAAGCTATCTCTGCTAGAGTAACTACCCAATAGGCAATAATAATATGATTTTTCAGTAACATCAGTTATTACTTAAATTATAAACACTATTTCATAGGTTTGTTGACAGGGACCAAAAGAAAAGGCACGGTTTTAATGTCAAAATTATGAAAAAATGTTAGTGTCTTCTTCGAAAGCGAATATCTCCAAAATAACAACATTTACTAAATAAAACTATTTTATACTAAAAAGTCAAATAATTTATCTACAAACTGCTTAAAAAATCATCAAGATCAGTCCACTAGAACACAGTATATTTAAAATAAAAAAAAAATAGAAAACTTTAAAATACATCAAAATTTTAAGACGCCCGTTTTTCTTGCCGGTGAGTGTATGTACATTTTTTTATGAAATCAATAGCTAAATTATTTAAAATTGAAGATCAGAAAGTCCACTGACGTTCTTCAAACATATTTGTCGGTAAAAATAATTATCAATTCGTAGAACGCTTTCTTTTTTGTATGTACTTGATAAGAATGCAGTTTAAAATTGACTTTCACCCAAGCACTACCTTTCTATGAGAAGAAAAAAACTCATAGACACTTTTAATGATGATATATAATATTGTGACCCCTCTTTGTGAGTTGTTACTTATCATACAGTCCCAGGGCTTTGACCAAAGCCAGTATCTGGGAGGGTTTTACAGAGGTTAGTTCTTCATCTCCGATATCAGGCGTACCAAGATACTAGATTTTTCGTTCAGTTACATGAGACTGCAATAGTTATTTCAAACTGCATAATAGCTACTATGAGCTTAGGTCATTAGCACTTACTAAATCAAGTGCTATTATTATCATAAAGAATTAAAAACAAGAAATAGGCGAATTAGAGCACAACGAAGTAAAGTAGTACCAACTAAAATTGTTATGATTTCTAATCGTACCAAATCAGTAAGATACTCTGCATTTTTAATGTATTTAGCAAACTATTTTATAAATATAATAAATAAATCGTTCAAATATTATTGTGATTTAGTTAAAAATATATTTCGTATTATAGCGTTTTTTAAACAACTACCACTGCGAACAGCAGCTTTTCATCGGAGAGCAGTCGTGGATAACGTATTTATTTCACTGGAAAGAAAACTAATTAATAACAATAAACAAAAAATACAGATATTGGGCGCCAGGCATGTACAGAGAAAGAAAACACAGTTGTATCTTACTTAAAACTAATGACTATACATCATATATCATATACAAAGACGAACTAAAAACATTACAGTATGATTAAAAGCTACATCTATTTCAGTAGCTTGTCAAATTTGTTTAATAATTAGATTAGTAAAATTAATTGAAAAGCAGATAATATTGATTCTGTACCTCAACATCTAATTGAATATATTTCTCTTCCAGGGCCTCCAAGCTATCCGTTGTCCTGCAGGATTGTACTTCGACATCGACAAGCAAACTTGCGACTGGAAGGACTCCGTCAAGAACTGCAAGTTGAAGAACAAGGAGCGCAAGGTTAAGCCTCTGCTCAACACCGACGAGCCCTTGTGTAACGACGGGTTCTTGGCCTGTGGTGACGGTACCTGCATAGAAAGAGGACTTTTCTGTAACGAAGTCAAGGACTGTAACGATGGTTCCGATGAGAACAGTTGTGGTAAGTTATAGTTCATTATATTTTTACTGAAAATTGTAGTTTTTTTCACTTTTAAGAAAATAAAAACAGCAAATTTCTTTGTTTAAGCTTCTAACTTGTTTTCCACAGTCTTACAGATAGGTTATCAACGTTTATGTCAATACTTATCTCTATACAGGGTTGTTCACCACATACGACACGGAGTATTGTAGCTAAACGATTAGATTTTTACAAATTGTAAGTTTTAGGTTCGTTGAAGGACTATTAGAGCTACAATTTAAAAATATTTTTACAAAATACAGAGTGTCCCAAATAAATAAAAAATATCAAAGTTGTGATTTTTTTAATGGAACTCCTTGTATATTATTACATTTTTAGTTTCTACGATTAAAATAAAGGTAAATTTGATTAAGGTTTATCATACTTAAATTTTAGCGTTTTTGAAATATTTTCAATTTTGTGAAATTGAAGTAAAAATTTGAAAGCTTCATTTCTCCAAGGATATCAACGTTTTTAATACTAAATATTTACTGAAGTCTATTTATTGATCAGTTATTGCGTTACAATAATAAAAATAATACTATCTCATACAGAGTGTCTAAAAATGTATTTTAAATAATTTCTAGCTTTAAACGGCAATAACTTGTTTAATTTAAATGGAACACCCTGTATATTTTAGGAGAATCAAATGTACAATTTAATTGTCTATCAAATTGTATTATACCATTTTTTACCTATCTCTTCAAGTTTTGGTAGAAAATGCATTTTCTTATAATTTAGACCTCCATTTATTAATATACCCATGGAATATTGACATTTTAGATTGTTTTTAAAGCAACAAATGTACAAAATGTGCAGGTGCTAAAAATGATAATATTACTAGCCCATTTATATTCAAAAAGAAAGAAATTAGAAGAACTATTTAAATCTTTATAAAAGAGTATACCATTAATTAAATATACCACCATTATCCGCCCAAATATTAATTAATTACATACTTAATTGTGTTAGTTAATAAACTATTCTAAATAATTGTGGATTTGAATCAGAAATCAATATAATAATAAGTTATGAAAATAAACGTCTCTGTTGTTGTAAATAAGCATTCGCCAAAAAATGAAATAAAATTCTTAAGGTGTTACTTTTTAATACACTGTTTAATACACATACAAAATTCAGTTTTTTAGTATTTGGAGCAATTATTATTACTCAACGCAAACAGTCAATTAATGTAGTTTGAATACTGGAATCATATTAATTGGTCCTCTAACAAATATTTAAACAGTTTTTTTTTAATTTTTTTAATGAAATAAACGAACTATATCGACAATATTCGTATCTGTACTCTTTAAAAATTTGTTACATCTTTAAAAATAATTTAAAATGTCAATATTCTATAGATATATTGATAAATGAGGTCTAAATTATAAGAAAATGCATTTTCTACGAAAACTTGAAGAGATAGTTAAAAAACGGTATAATACAATTTGATAGACAATTAAATTGTGCATCTGATTCTCATAAAATATACAGGGTGTTCCATTTAAGTTAAACAAGTTATTGCCGTTTAAAACTAGTAATTATTTAAAATAAATTTTTAGAGACTCTGTATAAGGTAGCATAATTTTTATTATTGCTACACAAAATTTAGAAAATAGAAATACTTCAGTACAATATTTGGGTTAAAAATTTAAATACGCCTAAAGAAATGAAGCATTAAAATTATTACTGTATTTTGACAAAAATCGAAATATTTAAAAAACAGTAAGGTTTAAATGTGGTTCAAATTTACCTTTATTTTAATAGTAGAAACTAAAAATGTAATAATATACAGGGTGTTCCATTTAAAAAAAAAATACAACTTTGATATTTTTTATTTATTTGGGACCCTCTGTATCGTGTAAAAATATTTTTAAATTGTAGCTCTAATAATCCTTCATCGAACCCAAGACTTACAATTTGTAAAAATCTCATCGTTTAGCTACAATACTCCGTGTCGTATGTGGTGAACAACCCTGTATTTATTGTTATTTTAAGTGTAAAATAGGTCTTTTAAAATAATTTGAGTCGTTATTGTAACTCTAAACTTAGTGCGACTTAAGTTGTAGCACAGCAGAAAGAGTCTGAAGTTATGAAGAGCATTGATGAGAACTGACCTTGTTTGATGCTAGTGTTTTGTACTATCTCTGTCGATCTCTTAGGTTTAAAGTTGTTTATGTATGAGTTCTTGTCTGACCGCCAACTGTCTTTTCGTCTTTTTGGAGGCCTTCCAAGCTATCTCTTACCCACCGGTTTCCCAGAGCTTCTCTTCTTCCATGCTTTTTTCTTGGAAATGATTGTGGTTTCGTTTGTGTCCCCTTGGATTCCTACACCTAAATAAAAAACTGTTGATTTAAAACTATAATAGTTCATGGTAAATATCTAAAATGCAAATTTATGAGTTTTCTATCGCATAACTAAATGCACCTCTCGTTTGTATCGAGTTTTTTTTTCTTTCCTCAGTTGCATGAAAAATTAATGAAGATGGTATTCAACGGTATTTGGGTTGGCTTGTAGAAATGTCACAGATTCAAGGTGTAAATCGGCATTTGCCGCATCCGCGAATAGCGTTACGGCTGTTTGACTTTCCCTTTCGCAACCTGGCGAAGAATTTGAGACGACTTGTTTACCGCGAGCAACGCCAACCCATCCTTCTTTCAGCAGTACCTCGTTGTACCTACGTACCACTTGAAGTAGTTGGTTGTATGTTTATGTAAAAATTTTGATTAAAAACAAACTAAGAAAAAGACTATTCTAATTATAACCGTACGTTCAAAAAAAAACGGCGTCAGAGAGGAATAACAATCGATGATAATTTTGGCGAGGTCAATCTCTAGACATCATAAAAATTTACATAATACTTGTAAAAATTAACACTAAATTATAGAAAGATTAAAAATGGATAGGACGTTTCCAAACACACAAAATTATTTCCAAAAAAAATCCCGAATTTTAAACTATACCAAAATATTAAAAATTATTTTTACTCAATATAAAAATAAATTACAATTTTTCTTAAGACCAACTGGAAGTAAGTTACATTAAAAAATAAAGAAGAGGCCAATTACTAATTGACGTCTAGGGCTTGACCTCGCCAAAATTATTATCGATTGTCATTCCTCAGCCGTCTTTGACGCCGTTTTTTTTTTCTCGATCGTATGGTACTTACGAAACACACTTGGCTTACCGCCAACTCGGCTTTTTAAAACCAAAAATTAATTTTGTTTCTGTTTTTTTTTTATTTCTATTCTTCATGAACTATTTCTTATTTTTATTTGTATTTATTATGAATCTTGTCACGTAGGAATTTTAAATACGTTAATGTTTCCTTAAAGTGCCTAGAATATTCAATTGTTTGAGTGTGGGAACCAACTAAGTACTGTAATAAAAAAATATGAATAAGGTATTGAATAATAATAGCATCTCTAAAAGAGCATTATATTTCAATGTTCGTTTAATAATCTCATTAAATAACATTTTTAATGTAATTTCTAATGTTTTAAGAATTGGAAATATAAGATACATTCTTTTTATGTTTTAATTTTGACTATTTGATGTTCCTGTTAGAAAGCTTTCAAAACCAAGGATGTCTGATGTCTACGGATTTTCACCAAAATGTCAAGGGCATACATACATTGTTAGACAAATATTTAGTGTGTGTAATACATTTTCTTTATTTAAGTTTATTTTTCCTCTCTGTGTGTGTAGCGACTTTAGAAGTTATCCATCGCGACTTTGTGTCCCCCATTCTTGAGTTATAACTCATCATACGGTCTCAGGGCATTGATAAAAGGCAGTATCTGAGACGATTTTACAAAGATTAGTTCCCCATCTCCGATATCAGTCACACCAAAGTTTATGGTTCTCGTCTCGGCGCACTCAGTGATGATGTGTCATCTCCTATTTTTATAGCATTTTTGTGATCTTCCGGGGGAGTGCACATGATTTTAGTTTTATCGATGTTCAGCTTAAGTCCCAAGGCCTCGTATGCCCATGTATATGTGTGTCAAATATTACTTTTTCCTCAGGTTCATAAGTTGGTTATCATCCCAAAGGAGAAAAAGACTAAAAGACTAGTTTTGGATTAATAAACCAAATTTCTTTGGAGATAACGGACGCCTTTTTTAAAAGTTGGTTACCACTTGGGAAGCAAGATGGTTTTGGTCCAGTTTGTGGAGTGTTTTCCTTTTCTAGCTAGATCGTTTGCTTTTTCATTGCCTCCAATCAGAGTAGCAGTTCTTTATTTTCTTTGCCTAATTTGTTCACCTTCTCTAGGCATCCTTTAACCAACTTCAAATTAATGGTTACTGAGTTGATCGCCTTCAAGGCTGCTTGACTATCGGATAATATGTTTCTTGTCTGTTAATCTAGTGCGTTTATATCTATATTATTTCCACCAACATTTATAACTCAATCTTGAATTCACTGATGAAATAAAAGTTATTAATGAGTACTAAGTATTGGCTCTGTAATGTTTTTATTGTAAAGTCAAAAATAATTTAACATTTGAGAACACAGAACATCAATTTGGCCTATCATTCTATAATGTCGACTCATAACATTGAGCTAAAATTTTTACGATGTGTTGAATAAATCTAGAAAATATAGGTATTTTGAACTTTGAGTAATAGTTTTATCGAGTTTTTACTACTTTATTTTGAATACGTGTTTTGTAAGTTGTAAGGAAAATGGAAAATATTGTCTTTCAATCATTTATTTTCCTCTGATATCTTCTTGGCGGGCAGGAATTTTGGTAATGTATCAGTGGCCGAATACTTTGAACACATAAGGCACAAAGACCTTGCTAGGTCACTTCGAAGGCGAAAGTGGACGAGAATTAAGAAATAACTTTCGTTGTCCTTGGCGTAACGCGATAGGCGGGCGCGGCGCCTGCTACGGCCCACTTTCAGCAGAAGAATGTTGCCTGCTAGCTTGCCGGCCTACCTGCTTCTTACCTGCCTCTGCTGCTTATCAATAATCTT